CCACTTAACTGTAACTAGACTGTGGATCTCGCCATACGTGATTTATGGTAAAGGGAGTCTTGTGGGTGGGGCAGCACGCTAGACAGTAAGCTGGCAAAGTGAAAGAAAACACAAAAATTGCCTGGATTTATGCCGAAAGTCTTATCCTACGCTTTTGTTCGACAATGGAAATGAGAGTGGTAAGTAAACAATAAACAGAAAGTAAATTTCACAAAATAACGGATTTTGGATTAAGATGTGAGGTTGTGGGAAGTAATCGTGTGATTTCTGCAACAGCTGGCAAATGTATGCCAAGATAAAACCCCCTATGACACGATCCACAGTCTACTGACAGTTAAGTGGGGTCCTTCTCTATACCGTTGCCGAGCATACATTGCCTTTAACCGGGTAACCGTCCGGAGGTTAAGGGGAAAGCAGGCATTTCTTATTCGGTCATTCGACCGCATGCAATTTTTCATTGTTTCGGCAATAACCGACAGATTATGCTTTCTGTGTAGAGCAATAAATTTTGAAAGCCTTTTGGCTCCGGTTCGACATCTAACTCTCATCCAGCCCCCTCCTTGGATCAGGGTTTGACAATCTGAAGATTATGAAGTAAACCGGATCCCCGGCATTCTTATCATTCTCCCTCTCTCCCTTTCCCTGTACATATATATATATATATATATCAATCAGGAATGGGCGCACACCGATCTATTGGCTTCACAAAGCAAACAAGCTCCGTATGTGTGGCAAAGGTCACTATATATATAGCTGTGTAGTGCAGACAATCTTGCCCATTTTATTACTCTATCTTTCCTGCATTTCAAGGTGCCTACGGCGAACACACGGAGTCAATCGGCGGCGTGTTCGATCTGAGCAATGAGCGTCGTCTGGGTCTGACTGAACTCGAAGCCGCCACTGAAATGGCCGATGGCGTGAAGAAGATACTCGAATTGGAGGCTTCCCTCTAGGACCTCCATCTGCATCTTAGCTACCTCTTACAGTGCTTTTAACACTGTTCCTCACAAGTCTTTTTTTAGCTGTCTTCACCTTGCATAATCACGCTGTGTACTGCTGTATCTGCCGGTTCGGGGGTTTTTAGGAGTCAGGCAATAAAAATTCAACATCTGGACCTCACTTCATGTGGTCGCCTGACCAAGTCCTATCAACAAATGAACTCAGCTGCTTTCTCGAGCTGATATGCATTCGCACATATTTAAAGTCAACCTTGAGTCAGAAATAAGCTCTTTCGAAATACTCACCCCTCATAAAAGCCATATCATAATTTATTTAAAACATGACCTTGGAGGACACGAGCATCCTACGAAAAATCGACCAGACAGAAGGACTGCAGGTTTTCGTCCTGCCTAAAGCAATATTTTCAATTATGGCATTAAATTGATTAAATTTACTCGATGGCTGTGATAATGACTATTTCTATAATCGACGATGACAATGACAGACCTGAGAATTCCTATGCAGCTCATGGTATGAACAGTAGTATGGAAAATGGTGTCCTTTCGGGCGATTTCGAGCACCTACGAATGCCGCGTGTTTTCAACTTGTTCCCTGAACGTTGAGCGTTCGCCTGAAGAGGCTGTACATATACTCAAATTCAGAGGAAAGGAACCAGCATGTGGCCGCTAACTGGGTCTAACAAATCCCCAACGTATCCGCCCTGAGAAAAGTAGCCGGTACCGTGAAATGGAGCCCACAGGGCACGCTGAGGGACCCGCAGTTGTGTCATGCAGCGACAGAATATCGGCGAAACACGCGTGTCTGGGCTTTTATCCAGCTCCTATGCTGTCAGGTATGATTTGTCGTGCAACTTATGCACATACTACTAGCTGCCCACTGGCAGTTTATGAATATTGCGCGGTTAGTCCACCGTGGCTGATGGGATTCGGTCCGAATATTCGGTAAAAATCGGGAGGTGGCACCCGAAAAATCCGCCTAACCAAAGCAGCCTGTCTTACGGGACAGGTGGTAATAGGGGTTTTATGGGTGGTAGCTGGTCAGGATGTACGATACTAGCCGACGGAAAGCCTTATTTGAACAGGTGTATGATCGAAGTTGGCCCGCTCTCCGTTACGTTATTACAAAATGGGTCGCCAAAGGCAGTATAGTGGTAACGGACGACCGGAAGGTGTATAATCGTCTTCCCTCAGAAGGTTATCTGCATTTCTCTGTTAACCACTTAAAGAACTTCAAGGACCCTACCACCGGACGGCACACCAATACCATTGAGGCATACTGGAGTAGACTGAAAAGTAAATGCCATGAGGGAGGCCCTGTATGTGGTCCAGCTGTGTGGGCTCACATAGACGAAGTACAGTATCGTCTTTGGTTTGGCCTCAATACCATGGCTTTGACAGATGCCTGGGAACTGTTCCTGTCCCACGTTTTGCAGACTTACCCTATTTAAAATTGATTTTGTTTTTTAATAAACTGCCATAATGCGAATGTATGCCGTATATTCAGGTGTACGTGTGTAAAGATGGGGAAAGTTAGGTAGCAGCGACCATCGTCCATGTAACCTCCTGCGATGTTCACTTGGCCAGCCCATGTTAGGTCGTCGCGGAACGTCCAAGTTGTGCGTGAAAGTAGGCCTGCAACCGCTGATATAGCCTGAAGGCGTTTGAGTCTACTGTTAAAGGTATTATTTCTAGGTAGCGAATTTTTTGGATGCCATCTCCCGATTGTTACCGAATATTCATATCGAATTTCACCCTGAGTTCATGAGCCACGAATAGGCTGATTTACTCCAAGTTAACTATTAATATCTGGAGGAATTAAACATTTGCAATGACGTGACATGTGATTTTCGTCTCCAGTTAGTCCGACAGTGCCAGCACAGCACAGCGGAAAAGCAGTCATCTAATAATATACAGTGAGCTGTTACCAAGCGTCAGATGGGAAAACAGAGAAATCTCCCACGTGGGATATGTCTCTTCCTTTTTCCTTACTCCGGAAAGAAGGTAAATAATTATTCATCTGAAGCACTAAAACCGTCCTCATGCTTCAGACAACCGAGTCTTACAAATTACAATTTGACCGTCGATTCCGACGAGGTCCGCTGTCTGTCAGTGTGGGCGTAGGGACAGTGAATTGCGAGTAATAGTATACTTGAGTAGGGCCCGCCGCACTCTCATCTTCTCCCACCTATACCCGCTGTCATGACGGAGTCAAGAATGGTAGGAAGCGTTCACCTGTCTTTCTTACGAAACTCACTCTTTCCGTTGTGCCTTAAGGGCTCTCTCTCTCGAGCCCAACCAGCAGCCGCACAGCGGCGCATGATACAGGCACAAGGGAGCGAGTGAGTTCCGTAAGAGCGATCGGTGAGCGCCTCCTACCATTGTATATTCCCGATCGAAAACCAACAGGACAACGGGCTCGTGGCCCAGTAGTTAAGACGTAGACTTCTAACTAACAGGTCGCGAGTTCGAGCCTCGGATGTTGCACACTTCGGGGTTGGGTATGACTGGCTGACGACGGCCAGAAATGGCCATTCCAGTCTGCCTTGTCTTTGTCGGTAATAACATACTGGAGTCAAGAATATCCGGAAGCGGAAGAAGGTGGGAGTGGCTAGCGCTGCGGGAACCCGCACCTCAACGCGTTCCACCACACCGGCTGGAGTCACACGGAGTGGCAGTGCCGTAGAGGTCACATTCAGATTGACTCTCAGTCCACCAGCTGTCCATCTCATACAAACACACCCCGGGCTGACTGCAAGGCCCCGGTAGAGTCGTCAGTTGGCAGGTTTTTAAGTCACAACGTTTGACGCATCGTGATGGGCGCAAGCGAGTCGGATTTTGTCTGGTGATAAATGAGCACTGAGAGTCGGCCTCTCGCTCTCCCTATTCTTTCCAGTGCTCATGCCGACTGTCCTAGCCAGTCAAACAAACGTCTGCGCGTGCCACACACGTGACCGGGCCATTCGCACATAAAACCCCAGAACTTCACGTATAGTGGTACCGCCCGTAGGCAGATAAACTTTGACATTCTGACCGGGATGAACGATGCCACCAACTCGAGAATAATCTAGATTCCTCGCACATTTTGATGATGGTGTTGATGATGATGATGGTGGTGGTGATGATGATGATGATGATGATGACGACGATGACAACGATTATTGTTATTGGTACGGCCATGGTCATGCCTAGTCTAGCCGGCATCGATGATGGCCAGAACCGCACCTCTCCATGCGCGGCGGTCCACGGCAGCAGACCTCGACAGTTCAACTCATTCGCCTTGCCAACGAAGAAGACCGAATACCCAAAGTTGAAGGACTGCGTTGAGTCAGGTTTGGAATTGATCCACATTTCGACGCCTCCAATTGGGTAACGGTGTCGGATCAAATGCAGTAACGTTGAGCTTCTGAAGTGGATGACGAAGAAATGCCCAAACCACCTCAGTCATCTTTCTTGGATGGCATAGGCTATCAGTGTGACGTTGATGCAGCGAGTGCGGACTGTCTCATTTGACACGAAATCGGTGTAGTTCACTCGAAGGATGGCCCTCAAACATTGATGGTCAAATACCTCCAGTTGTCGCTCGTCCTCCACGCGCAGAGCCCAGCATTCACACCCATAGAGAAAGACGGGCCGGACGGATGCACCGTACACGCCAATTTTAGTGGCGATGGAGATGTCGCGTCGGACAGACCGGACGGATCCACGTAAACGCGGATTTGCGTGGCGACTGAGATGTTGCGTCCAGTTCATAGGCAAATTCGGAAGCTCGAAAAAACTCAGCAAGCAGCGTGAATTCAGGAAACTGCGCCGTCCCTATACTGTCCATTCGGCAGCAACCTCGCTCCGAGGCACTTGAAACTGTCTACTTCTTAAAGTTAACAGTCATCAATCCCGAAAGGTGCCTTTTCATAGTCAGGAAATCGGTCTGACAACACTTTGGACCTCCCAGCGTTTATGGATAAACCGACCGATCTAGCGACCTCGTTCACCCATGACACCATAGGTTGCAGATTACCAAAACTTGAAGCTAATTGGGTGATATTATCGGCATATCGAGGGTGCCAACTCAACAACGTCACCCTCGTGTAGGTCCCTCCAGAGGATCCAGTCAACAGCGTAGTTGAACAGCATGAGTGACAGGATACAACCCTGTCGGGCGCCAGACCGAATACCAAACGGTTGGGAAAGATTGTTGCGGACCAAGACTGTCGCAGTAATGGAGCGATAATAGGCCTTGATAATGGCGATGACTTTTTCCAGTACACCATCTAGCGCCATTATCCGCCACAGGGTCTCATGATGAACGGAATCGAACACGGCGGCAAATTCAACAATGCAGACGGCTGCCAGTTGCTGGTAGCTATGGCGGAATTCGAGAATCCGCCTTAGTGTGAGTACCTGATCCGCACATCTAAGTTCAGCATGAAATACGGCTTCGTTAGTCCTCGTCCTAGAGTCACACACAGCCTGGAATCGCCTAAGTAGATCAATAGCGAATATCTTCGCAGCAACGTCGATGAGGCTTATTAGTTCTCGTACCTTGTTTTGTCCCCCTTCTTGAGGATAGGTACAAGGATGCCTGAGCCCCAGTCATCAGGAACAACCCCGTCTCTCCACGCTTGTTCAGTCAACTCATGGAGCCAGTGTGCCAGAGTTTCGGCACGACACTTGTAGATTTCAGCGAGTATACCGTCCTTTTCGAGTTCCTTGTTGATGCTTAGCCTTCGTATGGCATTGGCGACTTGTGTTTCGGAAGGGTGGTCGCATGGCACTGCATAGGTTGGAGAGGGAATAAACGTCATTGGGGAGGAGAACAAGGGTGTGATGAATTGTCCATCGCAGTTGAGATGGTGCTCAAAGTGCTCACCCCAACGCTCGACCTTTGTCGAACTGTCAGCAATAAAGCCACCATTCACGTCGCGAACAGAGTCACTCAGTGCAGAGGACTCACCATTAACTTGGTGGACGTGTTGAGAGTTCTCGAGTGTCATCGACGCCCAAGACCTGTTACATGGTGGTCGCGATTTCACCGCAATATTTCTTCCGGTCATCCATGGCCGACTTTTCCGTCATTTTCCGGAGTTGGCGGAAGCAGTCATCGTTACCGGACCTGGCTCGAGCCGTCTGAATTGACAACTGCAGGGTTCTTTTGCTGATCCAGTCACTTCGGCGTTGCTGGGCATATTAAATTATTTTTTCAGATGCCCCACAGACTGATGTTTTCAGTTAATACCATTGGTTACTGCCTTCCCCGTTATCTTGGGTCGTAAAACGAGGCGGGGTTTCTTTGCTCAGGACATCGGCAATGCTGGTTTGCTGGATTTTTGACATCAAAACGTCTAGCATGCCATATTTTGGGCGTGAATGAGAGGTGAACTTTCGAGCCTATACGAACGTGTACATGGTCCAGCCCATGGGCGTTGCCAGTCTCGGCGTCACGTAACGACCTACTACTGTGAACCCAGATGTGCGACCTTGAGCTGATTAGAATGTAATCAATCTGACTGTCCGTATGATCGTCGTTTGAATACCAGATGAGCTGGAAGCGCGTGTTGGTGACAAGCAGTCGGTTCTGATCAGCAAAGTTAGGCAATATCTCGCCACTGTCATATCGAGAACCAAGCCCAAAGCGGCCAATAAGATAACTGTTTGCGGAGTCAGCAGGTCCAGTCCGATAGTTTTCCAATCCCCGGCAACAATCAGCAGATGGCGGCGAGGAGGACTTTCAACTATCGCCTGCAGTTACGAGTAAAACGCCTTTTTGGTCGCGCTGCTCGGCTTATGTTGGTGCGTACACAGAGACGATTGAGATGTTCGTGAAGTGACCCTTCAGTCGCACGTGGGCAATCCGGTCATTGAATAGTTCCCCAGCAAGTAAAGCAGACTTCGCTTGTTACGAGAGCACGATCAACACACCGCCTCTGCCAGAAGGATCACGTGGTACAGGGTGACGCGTGAGTTGGCTCCCGGTATTTTTATTTCCCATAGATCCTGAGTCAGGAAGTCGGACTTCAGACAGGTAGCAAACATCCACCTTGTACTGATTAAGACTGCACGCGTTCAGACTTTGGGCACCAGGGTCCAGGAACGTTCGCACATTCCAGCTTCCAGTACCAAGAGTCCGTTCTCGATTGAGCAGTCCAGTTAGCATAGTTTTCGCCCGCACCACTGGACCAGGGTTGCTGAGCGCGTCGGTTTCCACGGCCGCCGTAGCGTGGGTCATAACACTGTATTCAGACGCATTTTCATGAGATTTCTTGAGAATTCTGATTACATGCGGATTTCCAACAGCCGTTCGGATTGTTTGTTCGAGGTGGTCTCCTCTCTTTGACTCAATGCAGCGGTGGCAAGCAAACTTATTTAATGGTGGTTCACGGTCGCAAACCTTTCAGCGTGCCAGACCTCAGCTCTCGGCACCCTGGTAGCATTGTCGCTGCTGGTCCGCGACTACTTATTCGTCAGAACTGAGTCTGCTTATTTTGTAACTAACCTTCACTGAAGACCATTCCACTATCCGCCATCAGTGGACACGCTGGGTAGCCAGCAGATAGGCTAAAGACCAACCCGCCTTCCCAGTAAGTGCTTATGAATAAATAAACTGTTTTATTTATCCCCCATGCGAGTACTGTCATTGAAATTGCGCATTTTCGAAGTGTCCTGGAATGATCTACAGCAGTGTGTTAATCCAACTCATATAATTAACATCGAGTTGGAGTTAAAGACGTGGGTTTTACGTCCAGAAATGATATGGAGCGTCCTCATCTCGAGGACAAACATAAATCACGTTAACCAACGTTCTTCCGATAATGAAATGCGGTCGTGAGAAAATGCACCTTACTGAGATTTCTACCAAAGAAACAAACGAATCTTTTGATTTTTGGGCATGCTTAAAATTTTGGTGTAAAGTTGGTACATGTGAGGCGTTTAGTGTCAGGGCTATGTTATAATGCCGGTTCCGGTATCCATATTCGTTTTGTGTAGTTTTGTTTGTCTTAACAATTTGCTCTGCCCTTTGACTTATTTCAAAAGACTGAACTGAACCCGAAGACATCCGACTTAAATACTTAAAAATACCTTGGAATAGAAAGATTATCGGATAGGGGTGGTAATCGCGGTGTAGACACCACATCTGCCCTAAGGCACCTAACATGTCGTGCAACACTGCATACCACATGAATTCTTAGAGGATATACACCATGATGATTATTTACAAAACGGCTTCTGTTGTCTTATTTGCTGATTTGTTCGCACGAACAGCTTTTATGAATGTCTACAGACTTGGTTTACTTTCGAGCTTCCAGAATTTCCGCATTTCTCAAGAAAAATGTCATTTCTAACCAAAGTCATATTATCTTCGACACTTACTTAGTGTTTTCATGTAACTAAAGGCCGTTCACTATTGATGGAATATTTGATCGGTGCATTTGGGTCAGTTTCCGATTGAATAGAGAGAATTCGCAATTTACGCATATGACATATCATGCGGTGAGTGACCGATCTCATGAAATGTTGGCTGAAATTCTAAAGTGCGTCTTCGACTGAGAACGATTACTTAGGCGCGGTTGTATTACCGATTATCGTGCGGCATAATTCTATGATATTTCGGACTCTGCAGGATGTCGGCTCTTGAATACACTGCTTTTCAAACTCCCGCACAAACCGTACCCGGTAAAAAATGACCACTTCAGTAGCATACACTTTTCACATTATTTTCGATGATATTACAAATTCAAATATAGTTTATAGAAACCCCGAACAAAAATATGCTTACTTTCAGTCGTTTGATAAAGAATCAAACGAAGGTACAAATATAAACATGACGTGATTTTTTATCAAACGACTGAAAATAAGCATATTTTTGTTCGGGATAGCTATAAACCATATTTGAATTTGCAAGACTATCGAAAGTAATGCGAAAAGTGCATGCTACTGAAGTGGGTCATTTTTTACCGGGTACGGTTTGTACGGGAGTTTGAAAAGCAGTGTATTCAAAAGCTGACATTCTGCAGAGTCCGAAATATCATAGGATTATGCCGCAAGATAATCAGTATTACAACCACGCCTAAGTAATCGTTCTCAGTCGAAGACGCACCTTAGAATTTCAGCCAACATTTCATGAGATCGGTCACTCACTGTATGTAAGTCTTAGACGTTAATTTATTTATTCGCATATATTTTAAGTTGTCTGGAAGCAATAAACTACCTAGTCGTTAAGTTGACAGAGCAGGATTTTTCAGTTCTGCCAGATTTCAGTTCTCGTAATAATTTTGTCACACATCAACTCCCGAGATTTCGTGCCTGAAAAAAGCTGAACATTCTTTAAGAAATGTTCATTTTTGGACACTGGCGAGACCACTGATGCCTATTAGTGTCTGAAGTCGAAGTCAACAATCGGCATTTTCTGCGTCGTGCCATAGTATGAAGTTTAAAGTTTGAGTAGGTTAGCGCTCTGTAACTAAAGCGTCATCAATCTTATGACAGTAAAGCTCATTCTCTCAACAAACAGTAGCAAGCGCTCAATGGTCTACAAAGCAGGTTAAGATTCAGTTAAGGAGGCCGGATGACGCAGAGGATATTTTAAAATGACAAGGCGCGAATTCAGAGGTCCATTGCGGTTTGAGTCGTTGTTACCTGACAAAAGTTTCGCGATTATTGTCGACCTCATTACACCTATGTAAGTTCTATTCACAACATGTGAAGGTGTGAACAAGACCCAATTGTCACGCTAAATGGACGGAGGGGGGGGGGGCTCCGACCACTAGAAAGGTGGGAGTGGAGGAACCAATTAGATGTCCACCGGGGTTAGGGGGAGGGAGGTTGACAGCAAAGAAACGCCCTGATGCCGTCACGTCGCACGGTGTCCATGCTTGGATGGCGCTCAGTGAGGGAAGTCTGCAAATCCTGATGCAGATCGGGGCCAGCGATTACTTATGCTGTGATCATCGATATCGAGTCTGGAAAAATGGCACTATCGTCTTATGGGGGCTGCCCTGTGATATGTCAGTTACGAGGATGATCGTATTCAAGGACAGGAGAACGTCTTTATGCGCAGAGGGGTTGTGTTGATTCAGAGGGATATCAAGCAGTTCGCATATATGACCGACGTATACACAGCAGACACTGAAAAAACAGGTCAGCCTATTGCGAAGCCTTGTAAAATGTACTAAATGATAGAAATATAGCATCATAGCATTTATGATTAAATGGCGCAGTCGCCAAAGAGTTGCAAAGCACCTGGAGATGACTAACTCCCAGTAGATGTCTATGAGGACTGTCCGCTAGTGTTAGCTAACAGGCGTCACGATCTTCAGGCAAAATCGTTCTCCATAGACTAGAGTGGCACTGTCGTTGTGCTAATCCTTAAAATGTGACAAATCGCTATGCTAAAACTATTAAGACACCGTTATTATCTTAACTGTTCTTCTCAGTCGCCTTTTTTTGCCCCGCGGCGCGCGAATAAAAAAGGAATCGGCGTATCTTGGTGGCAAGAATGCGCTAAGAAGTACTTCTAACTCCGCCCAGCTCTAGGACGCCGAAACCACTTCACAGTATGAGAATCAAAGTCGGTGGCGATTTAACGTGTAGGACCAAGCTTCTATTAGCATGTAGGTAGCCACTTAAGTGATTTAGGTGGGCATGTAATACTGTGGGTTGGAATCCGATCAGTCGGTCTTCAGGTTACGGTACGTGTTGCTATTGAGCTTCTGGGATTGGAACTAGGATCATGGAAGGGCAGGGGTAAGCGGACAGGGTAAGGGTTTGGAGGGGGACTAAGGGCGTTGAAGTGCCACACTGGAACTTTGCCGCCGTTCGGGCAGTGTTAGGGTTGCTGTGTAGATCGCATTTTGGTTGTAAGCTTATGGCTGTGGCTTAGGGTAAGACTCTAAGATTATAGTTGTGGTAAGTAATAGGCTTAAGGGTTGGGGTTAGTTTTAGGGTTAGGACTAATTTTGAGTTGGTTTTAGGGTTAGAGTTAGTTTAAAGGTTAGGG